GGAGAGGAGAGGAGAGGAGAGGAGAGGAGAGAGGATGGGGAAATGCGGGAGAGCTCACGTTTCCTGCGGCAGAGCCCTCGCACAGCATCTGGGAGCTGGGCCGGCTGCCCACAGACATTCTGCACGCCTGAGTCACACCGCAGCCGCTGCACGGCCCCCTCCCCTCCCCAGCCCAGCCCCCCGGCCGCCCCCCACGGGCCCCGGGGCTGGGAGGGACTGGGGCACCCTCGTGCTGGTGCTGGGTGAAGGGACCTCTCCCTGTCCTCGCTGGGAAATGAGCAGCGTCACCTCTGGTGTCCCCCACTGCGCTGCTCCTGGAGGGGTCACCATCGGGTTTTGGGGGTTATTCCCCTTTTGGCAGGACCTGGGGACCACATTTAGGCTCTCCCATGGGAATTCCCGTGCCCATGCAGGCTCACGAGGGTCCGGGCACAAGGGGCTGTGGGCTGCAGGGTCAGTCCTTGCCCACCAGTGCCAGGATTGGCCCCCTCGAGGAGCAGCGCTGGTGCTCCAGCCCAGTTTTCCATTATTTTGGAACGCTGGGATTGTGGATTTGGGGCTCTGGGCGTTGAGTTTCAGGCAGGAGCAGCAAACCCAGGTGGCCACAATATTCCAAGCCCTGGCAGTGGCTCGGGGAGGATCCCAGCAGGGGCACCCTGGTGATGCTGCCCTGGGACAGCCTGAGGGGATCCAGGAGCATCACCTCGTTGGGAAACCCGAAGTGGCCATCCAGGAGGGTTTTGGTTATTGAAGAGCTGTAGACTGGCGGTTTTCCCCAAAATCCAGGTTTTCCAGGGCTGGTCCCTTCACTCCTGCATTGCTGGGGAGCTGGAGGTGCCTCTTTCAGAAGAGCTTTGGCCTGGTGTCTTAAAGACTGTCCTAAAAAAATTGAAGTTATTTTCCGTAACTTTGAGGGGGGGGATTCCTGGCTGCCCTTGGCTGCCCCTCGCCGGAGCCAGAGCGTGATTTTGATTTACAAACAGTTTAATCTGAGGAATGCAGCGAAATGGGGAAAGTGCATCCTGCTGCAATCCCAGAGATTCCAGCTGCTGTCTGAGGCTGCTGGGTCCCTCCTGACTCAGCCCTGCCCAGCTCCCTGCGGGCTCAGCCCATTCCTGTCACAGCCCTGGGCACTGTGGTCACCTCGGTGCCATCCCAGTGCACACACGAGGCTCTGGACAAGGGTACACAGGAAGCGAACCTCACTCCATGAGGTTTTTAGGGAGGGGAGACAATTCCTGTTTTGTCCAAGACCTGTTTTCTGTCTCCTCAGTCTCGCATCTCTCCTGCTTTCAGCCCACTCTTCCCACCCAGCTCTGCTTATTTTAAGTTCCCTTCCCAGCGGGTGTCAAAGACCAAGCTCCCAGTTTAACCTCGCTTTGCAGCCCAAGCCCAGCTCAGCCTGGTAAAACCAAGCTCTGGGACCATCCACTTGTGTCTTTCACCTTCCATTTATTTTATTTTCACTTTCCATCTGTTTTATTTTCACCTTCCATCTGTTTTGTTCCGGTGGATGCAGGACAGGGACCGCCCGTGCCCGCTCCGCCCCTGTGTCCCCCCGTGCCCTGCACAGAAAGCAGCTCCTGTTCCCTGGTGCCAAGAGGTGCCTTTGCCCTCGAGCCTCTCTCCTGAATCATCCCCTGTTTACTGCCATGGCAGAGGAAAAGCAAAGTTTGGCCCAAGCACCACCAGACGGGATTTGATTTTATTTGTGGCGTTACTGAGGAGGGTGATGGATGCTGGGACCCCCATTTACCTTGTGCCGGTTCCCAGCCCTCTCCCAGAGCACCGTGAGGAGGCAGGGTGGGGACACCGGGCACGAGCAAGGGGCTGAGCCACCCCTCTGGCTCTGGCTGGACACGGGGCTGCAGCAGGAGAGGCTGGAGGGAGGCACAGACACAGCTCGGAGTTATTTTCCTCCTCCTGCAGAGAAGTTCAGCCAGAGGTTGGGGAGACCTTAAGGAAGTGGCTGCAGGGCTGGGAGAGAGGAGCAGGCTGGCTCTGCAGTGCTGCCTCATCTCCTCTGCCTTTGCAGAGGGCGCTGGGGACACCCAGGAGCTCTTCGTCCCTCCTGGCTGGGCAGGGACTTCTCCTCCTTCAGGTCCTCTGATGAGTTTCAGCACAACCTTCACGGCAAATCTTCATTTCTTGGGGTTTTTTAATCTCTTCCTCCCTCTGGAGCCTTTCCCTCCAGCCACCTTCCCATTCCATCTCCATCCTCTTGGACCATCCATCCATCACCATCACCTCCTGGTCACCCCATGGCCCAGCTGGGGACCAGATTCCCGTTTCTCTCCGGCCTCTGGGAGTGCTTTTCTCCCGCCAGAGAGGGCAGGGGTTGGTAACACTCTACTCTCCCCTCCAGGCCAGCCCCAGGTGCGGCCACCCCCGCAGCCCCCCGGGCCCTGCACCCTCCTGCTGCCCAACGGGGCCGGGCGGGGGCCGGAGCCGGGCGGTGCCCACGGGGAGGCGGGGAACGGCACCTGCCGGGCCGCGCCCAGCGCGCACAAACCGCACCGAAAGCTGCAGCCGCACCACGCCATCCACAGCCAGAGCAGCAAGAAGAGCAAAAACAGCTCCAAGTCGCCCTCTTCCCACATCCCCATTGAGGCGCAGGAAGGTACTGGATGTCCCCTGGGGGTCTCTCTCAAGCCCTTCCCCTCGGGCCCCTCATCCCCTGGGATTTCTCGGGTAGCATCCTCTGAGCCCTCGGGCCCCTCATCCTTGGAATTTCTTGGGTGGCATCCTCTGAGTCCTCGGGCCCCTCATCCCTTGGGATCTCTTGGGTGCCATCCTGTGATCCCTCTGGGCCCTCATCCCTTGGGATTTCTTGGATGGCATCCTCTGACCCCCGGGCCCCTCATCCCTTGGGATCTCTTGGGTGCCATCCTCTGATCCCTCTGGGCCCTCATCCTTTGGGATCTCTTGGTGGCATCCTCCGACCCTCGGGCCCCCTGGACCCTCCTGGCAGCCTCTGCAGGGTGGGTGCTGAGCGGGGCCATCTCCTCCTCTCCAAAATTGCTCTCTCGAGGGCTGGCTGTTGTTGAGGGAGACCCCTGGGGCAGTGGCCGCCTCCCGACTCCTTTTCCCTTCCCTTCCCTTCCATGAATTCCTGAGGGAGGATTTCCACCCTTGTGGTGCTCCCCCAGCATCCCCCGCTCACCCACGCGTTCCTCCCCAGACTGCTGCGTGCACTGCATCCTCTCCTGCCTCTTCTGCGAGTTCCTGACCCTCTGTAACATCGTGCTGGACTGTGCCACCTGCGGCTCCTGCACCTCCGAGGATTCCTGCATCTGCTGCTGCTGCTGCAACTCGGGCGAGTGCGCGGACTGCGACCTGCCCTGCGACATGGACTGCGGCATCATCGACGCCTGCTGCGAGTCCGCCGACTGCCTGGAGATCTGCATGGAGTGCTGCGGGCTCTGCTTCTCCTCCTGAGGGGCCTCTCTGGGCCGGGGGAGCCGCGCTGGGACCCCCCCTTCCCCCTCCCCAGGCTCCGGTTGGTGCCTCGGGAAACCTCGCGGAGGAGGAGAGCGAATCCCCCGCTGGAATCTTCATCCTTGGAGCCGGATCCTGCCCGGGGAAGGCGAACCCGGGGGGCTGTGAGGGCTCTGTCCTGTCCTGTCCTGCTCTACCTCTGTCCTCATCGGGGGACCGCGGGAGCCTCCTGCCACCTGAGCCGAGAGCAGGAGCGCCCGTCCTGCAGAGCCACCCTGGAGCCTGGCACTGGGGACACTGGGGACAGCCCCGTCCTGCAGAGCCACCCTGGAGCCTGGCATTGGGGACACTGGGGACAGCCCCATCCTGCAGAGCCACCCTGGAGCCTGGCATTGGGGACACTGGGGACAGCCCCATCTCACAGAGCCACCGCAGGCCCTGACATTGGGGACATTGGGGGCAGCCCCATCCCGCAGAGCCACCCCGGGGCCCGGCCTTGGGGACAGCCCATCCCGCAGAGGCACCCTGGAACCTGGCGTTGGGGACACTGAGAGCAGCCCCATCCCGCAGAGCCACCCCAGCTCCCAGCATTGGGGACAGCCTCGTCCCGCAGAGCCACCCCGGAACCTGGCGTTGGGGACAGCCCTGTCCCACCGCCACCACCCCAGGACAGCACTCCAGGGGAGGTTACAGGGGGTGGCACGGAGCATCCCCCCTCCAGGGACATCACCAAGGACACCTCCAAGGCTGGGTGACCCCCGGGAGATGCTGGAGCCTCCCCCCGTGCTGGGGGACCCGCCCTGCCTGCCCCCCCTGCCCTCGGTGCTCTGCCAGTGCAATAAATCCCCGCAGCGTGTCCCTCTCCTGCAGCCGGAGCTGTCACCGTGTGTCACCGTGTGTCACCGTGTGTCCCCGGTGTGGTGGGGCACGGTGACTCGGTTGGTGCCAAATGACCCTCAGCAGTTGTTGGCCCCGTGCCACCATCCCGGGGACAGGGGTGGTGGCAGGGTGGGGGTGGCACACCCCGCTGATGGGCTGGGGAGACGGGAAGTGTCACGGTATTTTATTTTATTTTTTTTTGTTGTTGTTCCTTTTTACTGTAAATAAAGGTCTTTCTTCATTTCTGACTGGCAGCTGGCCCAACACGTGCTCTGCAGGGCACTCCCTGGAGACAGAGGCTCCGTGTCCCCTGTCCCTGCAGCCTGTCCTGCTCCCAGCTGGCTCTGGGGACATGGGACAGGTCAGGGAAAGCCCCAGGGTGCTCCTGTTGGCTCCTTGTGCTGGGAAGGAAAATGCAAGAGGACTCCCTGTCCTTGGCTGCAGGGACAGGTTGAGGTCCTGGAGTGTCCCTGGGACAAACCCTGGCTCTGCTGTCCCCACCATCCCTGGGATGTCACCTGCTCCGGGCTGCTGCACCAGCCCCGGGGCACAAATTCCCCAAAGGAGAAAATAAATCATGCAGATTCCTAGGGGAAGGGCTGGGGGCTGATGAATTTGGGTGGCTTTGGCCACTCCTGCTGCCACCCCCAGCCGTGCCAGGCTGTGCCACCAGGCTCGGGGACCAGGACCCCACCGCGGGGTCTGGCTGGCCCTGGAAAGGCTCAGCTGGCCCAGCTCAGCTGCTGCTGCCTGGGCTGAAGTTGAACGAGGAGGGAAAAACACTTTAAAACCGAGTCCAAATGGGTCAGTTGGTCACGGCGACAAGGGCGGCTTTGGGATCTGGGCTCGCTGCCCTCCGGCGCCGCCGCTCAGCCCAGAATCCTATTTATAGTGATGAGCAAGAGCCCGGCACGGTGCGAGTACACAGAGGGGGATGAAGATGGTGTGGGCAGCCTTCCTCCACCCCACACTCCTCAGGGCTGTGCTGGATTTGGGTTTGACCCCATCCCTGCCCGCCGCGGCACGAACGGCACCGGGGCCCCATCCGGCACTCATGGGGTCGCTCGGAGCTTTTCCACAGGCTCTGGCTGAGGCTCTGCTCCAAACCCTTCGCATCCTTGGCACGGAGGCCCGGAGGCGCTGGCCTTCCCCAGCCTGGCCTCGCTTCTGCTGCTAATTAGGGAGGCTGGAGCTGCCAGCGCTGCTCCCACCAGCCGCAGTGGCTTTAATGGGGAACAGATTCCCCCTGCGGGCTGGCCAAGCCCTGCGTGGATGAGTCCCGGCTGGGGTGGGGGTCACACACACACCCTGAGCCCCCCTCCTGCTCCTCCTCAGTCCTCCAGCCCTTTTAACGCTGTTCCCGAGGGAGCAGGTTCCCAGCCGGAGCAGGTTTGGGATCCTCCCGTGTTTTCCTCCGTGGATGTGACGTTCATGCCTGTGAATGGATTTTGGTGACAGCTGCCTTCGAGAAAATGGAAATAAAAGAGCAATAATCAGTGCAGACCTCGACCCTCTGCAAACCCTGTCTCAGAGAGTTGTTCCCACCTTCAGCAGCAGCTCCTCAGGGCTCCATGTTGGAAGGAGCAAACGCAGATTTATTTTAGCCCCGACCCCAAACTCGAGGTGCATTCCCTGCCCTGAGCCGTGCTGGCTGCTCTGCTCACGCCCCAGGAGCTCCTGAAAATCCCAGGGGTGGTTCTGGGATGTGGGATTGATGGATCAGAGCGGGGAATGATGAACCAGAGCAAACTCGAGTCCCTGAAAGGGCTGGAAAAGCCGACGTGAACCTTTGCTCTGGATGCAAGTTGGCACTGGCCATGCAGGCTGCAAAACACTGGGCCAGGCAAGAGTTAAACCCTCCTGCCTGGGAATTAATTAACAACAGATGTGCTTGGTTTTAACTAATTACTCTCCTGCCAGCACTTGGTTTTATGGTTTTCTCAGAGCTGGAGCACCGTGCCCGTGCTGATGTTGACCCTGCTGGGCTTTCCTGGGCACCCTGGGCTTCCCTGCCCGCCTTCCCCAGCCTGTTTTAAGTGAAATAATTCCATGAAATTGGCTAAAACCCATTAGAACTGCAGTCACCTTTATGCATTGTTGGGTATTTTGGTGCAGGGTCTCCCCAGTGCTCCCTGGGGTGGCCAGTGCCCGATCCCTGCTGGCCACAGGGGTTTCCTTCTCCTCCAATCCCTGCTGGGCATTGATTATTCCTGGGATATTGGAGATCTTAATGATGGGAGCTCGCTGTTTAGTTGCTGATGGATTCCAGGGGCTGCTGAGCCTGTCGTGGGTGCAGCCAGAGCAGAGCAAGAGGGACAATTCTGGAAATTCTGCGGGCAGGTGTGGAACCCCTGGGATCCAGACCTGGCTCATCCCCACAGCCCTGGGCTCTCTGGACACCCCGTTTTTCCATGGATGGAGCAGCTCAGGATGAGCCCCACACTTGGCTGCTCCTTCAGTGGGGAGGGCTGTCAGCAGCCCAGGCTATTTCTGTCCTCAATCACGATCAATAAAGCAGGAGAGGATTTTTATTTTCCACTCCAAATTCTTTCTCCATCCTGTTTCCTCCCAGTTCACACGGCGGACTGGGGAGAGCTCCAGCAAGGAGGCCCACGGAGCCTTCTCCTCCTCCTCCTCTTCCTCTTCACCCTCCTCCTCCTCATACAACCCCCACTCCTGCTCTGTGCCACCCCAAAATTCCCTCACAATTCCCAGCGATCCAAGGGTTCAGCTGGGTGAGGCAGCGAGTCCTCGCACACGTGCGTGCACACACACTCACACATAAAAGAAAACACTGCCAGAGCCAAAAGGAAAAAAAAAAATAAAATAAAATAAAACAAACCCGGGTTTTTGGAAGGCAGAGCAGCTCTGTAATCCCAGGTTCTGGCGGGATGGGGGACGGGGCCGAGGGGAGACGACTGCAGTCTATTAAACTTCCTTTGAGAACCTGCCAGACTGACAACAGCTGGAAGGAATTAACATTTCGGGTCCACCAACTCCGCTCCTCGCCTTCACCCGTCCCCAAAACGCAGCCTGAGGCCCGGCAGCATCACTTTTTCCCACTCCCTGGTGTCCCACAGTCTCTGGCTGGAGCCGATTCCTTTAATCCCAAACCTGCCAGAAACGTGAGCATCCCCTGAATGAAAATTCCAGAGGCTGTGCTGGCACCAGTCCCCCCCCCCCAGTCTGGGTCTGGTGTGTCCTGAGGGCTGGGACAGAGCTGTGGTGACACAGCTGCGGTGACATCGTGGCCATGTGGCACCTCCCAGCCTCCTGCACGAGGGACAGGGGAGGGGAAAAACACCCAGGGAGGGCAGGAAAGGGACAGGGAAGGGTTTGCTGGGTGTGTTTGTTGTCAGTTTGGGGTGAAGTCGTGCACCCCATTCCCTGATTGTGGGGTTCATCCCCAAAAACTGGGACAAACACCCAGGGAAGGGACAGGGAAGGGTTTGTTGGGTGTGTTTGTTCACTTTGGGGTGAACCCATACACTCCATTCCTTTATTGTGGGGCTCGTCCCCAAAAACTGGGACAAACTGGGCAGGAAAGGGAAGGAAATTATTTGTTGGTTTCTGTTTGTTCACTTTGGGGTGAAGCCATGCACCCCATTCCCTGATTGTGGGGTTCGTCCCCAAAAACTGGGACAAACACCCAGGAAAGGGACAGGGAAGGGTTTGTTGGGTGTGTTTGTTGTCACTTTGGGGTGAACCCATGCACCCCATTCCTTGACTGTCCCAAAAACTGGGAAAAACACCCACGGAGGGCAGAAAGGGAAGAGTTTGTTGGCTCCTGTTTGTTCACTTTGGGGTGAAGCCATGCACCCCATTCCTTGGCTATGGGGCTTGTCCACCAAAAAAATGGGAAAAACGCCCAGGGAAGACAGGAAAGGGACAGGGAAGGGTTTGTTGGCTCCTGTTCGTTGTCACTTTGGGGTGAAACTTTAGGACTGTCCCCACCATGGGGGTGCTGCCCCTTGGCTCCGTGTGCTGGGATTGGCAGGATTTGGATGAGGGGAGCAGGGTGGGATGGCTCTGGAGTGTCCCACCAGCAGAGATCCCCCCAAAATTCCTGAGTTTTGAGTGGAGAGGCAGAGATTCCCCAAAAAATCTTGAGTTTCAAGAAGAGGAAC